CCCCAAAACCCCAAAACCCCATAATCATTATTTCTCATTGATTTGAGAGTTAAAAACATGATTAATCAATCACTCAAATGTAAAATAATTGCAATACATAAACATTATACTATCCATCCAAAGCATCTGCCTTTTGGTTTTTGTTGGCATATCCTCTGTCTAGGAATATAAAAGATCGATACTTTCAAAAAAGGTCTTCGTCTTCTGAGTCTTCATCATCACCAGCAGTTGCTGTCTGTCTCTGTGGTACTGGCTTCTTTGTGATTCTTCTATCGTCTTCATCATCTTCAGATTTCTCTTCTTCACTTATATCGTCTGAGCTATCACTATCTTGCTATCCGTTGAGAGTTCTCAAGGGCACCTGTCCAGCTTATCTCAACTAGCCTCTGGGAAGATTCTTTCCTACTTAACCTTTTAATAGCTAATAATTCTTAGGAGTAAATTAAGTGGCGGGTTCGGTATATTAAGGCACGATTTCCTCTTCTTCAGAGCTCTCTTCAGCATTCTCCCCAGTTTTGGGAGCAGAGAAGCCAAGACCTTGTGAGATGCCACCTCTGTGTTTCTTATTTTTTGCTTCAGCCTCATCAATCCATGCGCAATATACATCTACCTCTTTGTTCAAATGGGAAATAGTATGCTGATAGGAGGTTGTGCATATTCTGCAACTTAAGTAAGCTATTTTCTTTGGTCTCATCCTATATATAAATATCAGTATCTTATAATTAGTTGATAGTGAGGCTTCTTCTCCCTCCAACATTCAAAGTGGAATTTTGAAAAATTGATTGCCAGTCAAACTTTGTAGCACACCTTCAATTGGAAGGAAGTAGCGCTTAAATCTATTTTAGACTTACATTTTCACTTCTACAGTTGCCGAATGCGAGCAGTAGGGGCAATCAAAGACCTTATCAACCTTAGGTGGGGCCTTCTTCATAATTTTAGTTGCGCGACTCTTTCTTTTACCCATTTGTCAAAATTAAATAAATATTAAAAATTTTTTAAAAAGAGTTAGTTAGGATTTTGTTATATAAGAATTAGAATAATTAAGCTAAGCTGCTAGCTCAACGCCTCAGCCTGATTTGAAGAGGAGAACGGCCACTTGTCCAAGGTAGAAATAGATGAAGTGTTTTGTTTCGTGGGTAATGTAGGAACCGAAATTTCTGCCTATATTAACCAATTAATAAGTATGAATTTCATAAATTGATCAAAATTGATGTTTGGTTAGGAAGGTGCGCATGATTTCTTACCTACAATGCAATGCCAGGTTGGGTTGTATTTCTTATCGAATTCCTTCTTGATGAATGCTGCAATATCCTTCTCAATGTTGAACTTCTCCAAGGCCTGGGTAGCAATGTCAATTGCGTCCTACTGCATATCTTCGGACATGTCTGCATTTTTGACTACTGCTTTCCTGTCTGCCATCTGTGCTCTTCAAATAGAAATTTAAATTTATTTATTATTAATTCCTTTAAGATGCAGGTTTATAAACCTCAGGGGTTTTGGGGTTTTGGGGTTTTGGGG